GCCCAGCTCCAGGCCCGGGGACGACAAAGGAACAGCTCCTGCCACCAAAGGGCTCCCTTGGTCTGGGTTTGGGTTAGTGGCAATGCTCACCTCCCATGGCAGCATGGAGGCCGGCGACGTCACTAAGGGCATTGACTCCAGTCTGTGGTTGCAGTACCAGTTGGGACAATCACATTCCTGGCTGGGGCTGGCGAATGCACAGTGACACAGGAGGGGACTCGAGAAGCCCCCATCCTGACCACACCTGGAAGAGACGCACGGGCCAAGGGGAAGCTATAACTCAGAGGACTTCAAGCGGCTCCATTTCTCCATCCTCTCCTCCATTCACAGGCAGCTCCATCTGCAGGGGATGGGCGGCTCCTTGCTCAAGGGAGTGGAGCACAACCTCTCTCCAGTCCCTGGCTTCCTGTGACACTATGCGAGCGCCAGGAGAGACATCAGGAGTGGAAGACTTTGGGGAAGCGAACTTCACCAATACTGTCTAGGTAAATCATCAAGGCAATAAGCAAGCAAACAGCAACACCTGCCAGACAGTAACAACAACCTGCAGGACAGGAAAGCCAGAACTGGAAGTTGTTACAATAGATTATCAAAAATGTCCCATTTTTAACAAAATAATTTTGAAATCTTCAAAGAAACAGGAAAGTATGACTATTTAGGGGGGAAAAGCAATGATGAGACACTGTCTGCTAGTGTTACCAGTCTGTTAGTTGGATTTAGAACACAAAGATTTCAAGGCATGTGCTAAAGAATTAAAGGAAGTATGATTAGAATGAGTCAAATAAAGAATGTCAGTTAGAAATTATAAAAATGAATTAAATGAAAATTCAGAATTGAAAATATAATTGCAAGTTAAAATTAGAAGAGCTCCAGACCAGAGTTGAGATAGCTGGAAAAATTCAATGGGATAAAAAATTGAATAAAAATTAATATCTAACTGCCATCTTACGAGCTACATCTTAGGTTCAAAGATACAGATGAATTGAAAATAAAAGGATAGAAGACTCATATACCATGCAAATAGTAACTAGAAAGAGAGTTTTTGCTTTCAAAAACCAGAAAAAGAAAACTAAACCTAAAACAAGCAAATACAATAAGATATTAAAGCAGAAATTTAAAAGAAAGAGAAACTCAATGTAACCAAAGGTTGTTCTTTGAAAAATGTTTAAGGAAAAAAGAAAAAGAAAAATCTTTAGATAACCTGACTGAGATAAAGAGAAAAGACACAAATTTCCAAAATTAGGAATGAAAGAGGGGCATTACTACTGACCCTACAGAAATTAAAATGGATATAAGAAAATATTACAAACATCTTTAAAAAAAATTTAGCAACTTAGGTAAAATGGACCAATTTCTTGAAAGACATAAGACATTCTAGCACTTATACACTGAGATGTTAACTGGAGAAATGAAAACATATCTTCATAAAAACCTGTACATAAATATTTATAGAAGTAGTATTTACAATCACCAAAAGTTAAAATTAAATCAAATGCCCTTTAATGGGGAATGAATAAACAAATTGTGTGGTGCTGGCTTTGGTAGCACATATACTAAAATAGACAAATTGTGGTACATTCATACAATTGAAATTCTCAACAGTAAAAATAATGAACTGTTGATATACACAACAATATAGATGAATCTCGAATGTATTATGCTAAGTTAAAGAAGTCAGACTCAACAGATTGCCTCCTAGAAGGTACCACTTATATGATATTTTAGTATTTTTAAATTTAATTTAATTTAATTTTTTGAGACGATGTAGTCTAAGATGGATTTGAACTCACTGTTTAGGGCAGGCTGGGCCCAAGCTCATGGCAATCCTCCTGCCTCAGCCTCCTGAGTGCTGGGATTACAGGTGCACACCACCACGCATGGCTGATATTCTGGAAAAGGCTAAAATACAGAGATGGAAAACATATAAGAAGGTAAGATGATCCAACCCATGATTTCCTGGAATTGTCCTAATTTAAATTTGTTACCTTGCCTCGTTTACATTAAGTCCATAACTTTCCTAATCTTTACATCTATTTATTTATTGCCTTATTTATTTATTTAGTGGTGCTGGGGATTGAACCCACACATCCCAGGCAAGTGCTCTCTCACTGAGCTGCACCCCAGCCCTGATTTTAAAATTTTAAATCTAATATTTTTATTACTAATTGCATTAAATGAAGCTCAATCATTGGTAAAACTGTCATTGGAACAAGAACTCCTTCCAAGGCTGTTTAGTAGTGATTGAAATTTTGACCTTAACATGCAAGTCATTTGGAAAGAGGGTTTAAAAACAATCTTGTTCCCTTCCCGGTGCGTGTTCCCTTCCCTTCCCCACTATCTTCAGATGTAACATTATTCACACCGTCCTTGGAAGGACAGCATGCAGGGCCCTCGTTGACACAACTAGGAGCAGTGGGGGACTTGCGGCCCAGGACAGCTCCATCCTTCTGGTCGAGAGTGGCCTTTGATGCTGCTGGCCCTGCTGGCTGCTCTTGGTTCGCGGGCTGGTTGTCCCATGGCCAGTGCTGCAGCCTAGGAGATGCATGCTTGTGCATCATCTGGGGGAATGAAGCAAATTTTAGGTGAGGGGTGAGTGAAATAAGAGGCCGAGCAGCCCCTCAGTAGCACACAGTGCACCTACTCTTGTTTCTCACTGGCTGGCACGCATCACAGAGTTGCTTCATTTCACTGGTTAATAGCTTTTTAAAGTTTTACAATAAATGTTTTAGTAAGTGAGGAGGTTAAAAAAACTCAGTGGCTATTTAATGAAAAATGAGGTGCTGAATTTCTATTTTTTAAGAAAGTCGATGATGACAATGTAAGTGACATGGCATGATGGTTGACATCCGAAGTGCTGTTGAATGAAAATTGTCAAAGGTGACCTAGGAATATTAGTGTCAACATCGAAGTCTGCAGGTCCGTTAAGTGGTGCAGTGGGTTGGATGGCGGTTCCTTAAAAAGAGGCAGCCTGAAACCTGGGAATGTGACTCAGTTCGGAAAAGCTGTCTTTGTGGGTATGATTAACTGGAGGAGCTTGAGCTGAGGTCACGCTGGATGATCTAGGTGGCCCTAAATCCGACAAGCATCCTTAGGACAGACAGAGGGGAGAAGGCTGCAGGAAGAGGGGGCAGAGGTGACAGATGTGGCCGTAAAGGAGGCTGAGAGCCCTCAGAAGCTGAAAGAAACAATCCATGTCTGTTCCCAAGTCTTCAGAGGGAGCACAGCCCCGTGGACCCCAGGACTTCAAATTTCTGGCCTTTAGACTGTGGGAGAAAAACTTCTGTTCTTTTAATTCAGCAAGTTGGAATTACCACGCAGCCTTGTAAACCAAAGGGAAGATCATGCTCAAGATATGACTGAGCACATGGCTGGAGAGAAGGAGTCCTATGTACGACCCGGTGAAATTTAACTTGCTGCTTTGACTAAGTATCTGCTTCACTAAATTCACTTTGCTGCTTTTCAGCTCTGCATTTTCTTTGCATGTAAGCAAATGAAGCTATGGGCCTTAATGAATGGTCCCCATGGGCAGGGAAAGACCTTTGCACACAGTAAATGGTAACAGTTTTCATCACTGTCACCAGATGTTTGAAAAAGGCGATCAGTTCATTTCAGTAATGCCTGGATTTGTTTCATCTAATTCACGGAATTAATCCAGTTCATGGAAGTTCCTTGGTGGAGTGGGAACATCTGACATCATCATGAATAAAATTGTAAAATCAGGTTGGAAGCCCAACACTGAAGACAGAGTTCGCGTTGCTGTTGCTCTTCCTACTATTTTGCAGAACTGATACAGAGCAAACATAGAAGTGTTGTTGGTGGCAGTGGGGGTGGGTGGGTAGATGGGGAGGGGGGTGGGCAGCATATTGATCACCAGTAGGATCACAGCCACCTTGGGGCAGCAGTTCAGGTGGGGACAGAGTGGTAGTGAAGGACGGGGTCACCCACAGGAAGGCTCCAGGCAATGGGTGGGCGCTGTCAGGCCCACAGGGAGAGTGCGGCACACGGCAAATCCATGGCATTAGAAAACTCACCAGTCCCTTCCTTGTCCCCTCCCACCCTCCTTTTCTCCCTCCCTCCCTGCTAGCAAGACTAACACATGTTTATTACTGAAAATTTAGAAATGCTCTATAAAGGGGAAGTTTAAGTTGTCCACATTCCTGGAATCCAAATCACTTAATTGTTGAGGTTTTCCTCTTTAGATCTTCATGCATGTATGTGACTATATACACATCTATTTAGTATATCATATACATCCATTCATACGTCAATCAAGGGCTTCTCCAACTAACAGGAAACCCAACTCAAGCAACAAAGTGGAATGCTTTCCTCTAGTGTCTCCTGTGTACTGGCTGGCTCCATTCTCTGGCTGGCTTTCCTTCTGGCCACAAGGCCAGGTAAGGCCACCCATCTTCACAGGGACAAGGAGCAACAGTGCCCAAGGGTTCTGAACAGATCCCTGAGCTCTGCTATGATTGGACTGCTCCTGAGCCAATCACTACCTGGCTGAGCCACTGGCATCCTTCAGAGCTTGCTGGGGGAGGCGGCACCCAGGTAACCTGTCTTCCCCGAGTAAGGGAGGCAGCCTTGATATCTGCTGTTCTAGTCCTTCCTATTTTCTCTATTTATAAACCCATTCGTCTTCTCCCTGCCCCTTTAAGTCTTGGAGATGTAAGTCAACCCTTTGTTTCATACTCGGGATAAACACACAAAGGTCTCTAGAAGGCTGACCTGAACTGCCCGGGCCTGCAAGCCCAGGGGAAGGCTGTCCTTCCGGTTGTCACTTCCGGCTTCTGGGGGATGCTTGCTTTTGACTCTGTGCCTTACACTGACCCTGGCTGTGGAATTTACCCTTTCCTTGATGATCTCGAGAGAAACCAAACACATAGAAACCGGAGCGTGCTCGGCAGACCTCCTAAAGGCTTAGGGAAGACGGAGTGAGGATGAGTTTACATCGTCAAAGCACAGCATTTAAAACAGAATATTTCAGAGCCTTGTGCGTGGTAGTTCTCAGTGGAGGTCGATTTTATTGCTCAGGGGACATTTCTGGTTGTCACAACATGGTTGGTTGTCACAGGTGCCCCTGGTATCTAGGTGAGTAGAGACCAGGGCTGCTGCTGCACTTCCTGCAGTGCTCAGGGCGCCGCCCCACAGCAGCGAGCTGTCCAGCGCCCAGGCAGCGTATGCTGGCGAGGCCCGCGGGAGACAGCTCCAAGTTTTGGGCAGTGTGCAGTGGCGCTTGGTGACTCCCTGGGGTTTCTCTCCCAGTTCCCTTTTCATTGCGCTTCCTCCTCCCAAGTTTTTCTCTCTTCCTTAAATGGAGCACGTCAGCTGCCCCTATTTTCCTCATTCCCGGACAGGTTTTCCTTCCCCACCTCGAAAGTTTTGGTGAATCCAGTACCTGCTTTGTGAGGAATTTCGCTGTCATCTGTTAAGACAACAATCATTTTCAGTCCGCTATTACTTATCCACAATTAGCCAGCTGTACTGGGGGGTGATAAAGTGGATTGTGTTTGCCGCATGCTTTCCTCACTGAGCGGCATTTTATGAATATTTCCCCATTGCTTACCCAATATCATACGGTTTGCCAAGCATTTCTGGTTCTGCTCACTCCTGGCACGAATCCGAGAGCATTGCTTAGCCTCCTCGGGAAGGGCCTGGGGGTCAGTGGCCGTGTGTGGCCCTGATGTGGAACTTCCTGCCCATTTGACACTTCTCTGAGCTCTCAATTTCTTTCTGGTGAGTGAGAGGCAATGCTTGAGTTGGAGCTCTTCCTGTGGCCGGGATATTGAGAAGTCACCCTGCAAAGAAGCCCTTGGCGAGGTGATGTATAGATGGGAAGTAAATGGGATTTTGTTATTTTAAGCCATGGGAACTTTGGGGATGCTCGTGATTGTAGTCTAATTCAAGTCTGTCCTGATCAGTGCCGCGACTCCCACAGCATAGGGCCCAAAGCCGGGGAGAGTGGTGGGAGGTGAAAAGATGAAGAAACCAAGAAAGAAGGATACGCACCAAGATTATGCTTGAAAGCTGGGACCAGGTGGAACCATAGCTTGTCGGGAGCTCATGGCCACCTGGAGGACCACGCCCTCTTTATTTATAGTGGAAGGCAAACAGGAAGAGAAGGCGGGGCAAATAGTGCTGTATGGCTACGTGGCTTAGGCTGACAGAAGCCTGATTGTTTCGTGATGGGGCATGCACAGGAAGGAACAGGGAGGGATACAATGTAACTGTCTCATGGGGCTGTGCCATCCAGGGTCTACAATATCAGTCAAGTAGACTGTGTCACAGACTGTTTGACATAGGCTGTTTGACTCTAATCTGTGGAGGAGAAAGGGCCATCTTCAGGCTTGGCCAGCAGCAGATCAGTGCATCTGATACCCTTTACTACTTTTGTTCAGAGATTTACTCCTCAGCATGAGAGTGGGTTACTGCATCCATGGTCCAGGGGCTTCATCTTGCTTGATCCAAACCAACAGTGGCCATCCTATTGTTCTTTCCAGTGAGGAGTTCGGGGCAGGCACTGACTTTCCTCTGAGAGGTCATGGGAGGTCTGTGGGGATTCCTGATCCCAGGGAAGAGGCCTGAGGGAACAGGCTCTTAGGCCTCTGGACATGGCTGTGTATGGATGTGATGTGGAGCTTTGTACACCAAAAAAGAAAGAGTGAAGGAGGACCATGTGTGGGCAGTGAGGCTCCACGGAGGGTGCCGAGAGGGATGGAAAGAACAGAATTCTTGATGACTTTATGGAAGCTGGGAATCCACCAGCCCTGAAATTTCTCCTGCCTCAGACTTCCTGAGATGTGCAGTGTTAACAGTCCTTGCTTGAAGGTAGTTTCAGTGTTTTATGTTGCTTGAAACTGAAAAATCCAAGTGATATATCAAGTTGACCAGTGTAATGTTATTTGAATTGTAGAGCATGTCTAGACTGTAATATATTTAATTAATCTCCCATGACTTGACCTTTAGATATTTTCAGTGTTCAGTCACTACAACATTAAAAGGGGCCTTTCTGAAAATAACACCAGACAAAAGTTGTTAACATTTTTCCGCTTCCGAAGAGAAGGAAGCCTGCCTGCATCGAACTAGATCTTCACTGTTCTACTTGCTTCTACTGCTGGAGTGCCTACCATGCTGTAGGTTTGAGAGAGAATCGTCATACTTCTCACATAGCTCTACAGGGCCTGTGTTCCTTTGGTTTGATAAAACCAACCCATGGTCTTTTGGTTATATAAATGCAAAACTAATTCCACACATGAATCTTTGGAGAAAAGATGACAGCAGATTATGGGACTGAGAGATTAACTTTTGATTTCTATGTAAAGTAAACATGTATTTTAGCATAAAGAGTTATGGCTTCAGACTTTCTAACTTCTTAGGGAAATATACCATTTTCTGTGTATGCATTTAAATTCTTTAAAATTTGAGGTTTTATGCTCTCATTGCATATTGTCTAGGTAAAGTTGGGGATGTGTATCACTCAGTTTTCTGTGACTGTAACAAAACACCTGAGATATTCGACTTAAAAAGAGGAAAGGTTATTATGGCTCACAATTTTGGGCCAGTGCTTTAAAGCTGTAGTGAGGCAGCGCATGGGGGTAGGAGCATATGGTGGGAGAAGCCGTTCACTTGATGTTCAGGAGTGAAAGAGAGAGAGCCAGAGCAGGAAAGCAGGGTCCCCCTTATCTCCCTCCCCCCAGGCCCTACATCTCAAAGTTATCCAGCTCCTCCTGACAGTGCCCAGCTGGGGATGAGGTGTATAACACTTGGGCCCTGGGGGGACATCCCAGATACCATAGCAGCAGGATGACCCTGATAGGAGCTGGATGTCTTTCCTAACATATGGGTATGGAAGGAAAATCCTATAAAAATAAGACCTGACTCCTAAGAGCGCTATCCATTTTTTCAGATATCCTCTCTGCTCTAAGGAACTGCTGGGCAGAAGCAGTGGCTGTGATGGCAGGGGTCACATTGCACATGGAGGAGGGGACTGGGGATGCTAAGCAGTCCTGCCCCTTGCCAGCTGTGTGTGCTAGAGAAGCCGCCACACCATGCGGAATTCCAGGATCTTCCTGAACCCAGTGGAGACATGACAGAGAGCTTATTTACTTCACTGAAGTATTCTGATCATTTTTTTCCCCATTTGGTACTGGGAATCGAACTCAGGACCTTGTGCTTGCCAGGCAGCCTTGGTGGCACTGAGCTCCCTCCCCGGCCCTGATTGAAGTATTTTGAAACACGGTCTCTTCATGTAGGTAAACTGAGAACACACTGATTACAGTTTTTGTTTTTTGAGGTCAAAGAAAAAATATTTTGAAAGCTGAGTTCCTAGACATTTAGTGGAAGAAACAGCATGTTTAATCACACAAATAATACATAATCAGTGTTGCAAATGAAACACACACATACACACACACACACACACACACACACGTTCCACTCTTTGTTTCTAGTCCATGAGAGGCTGAGACACTGATATTCTCTTTCTTGTGGGTGAAATCCATCAACATCATTCTTTGAGATTTCTTTCCTTGGGATTCTTCTCAAGAAACCCTTGGCTATCAGGTTGTATATAAATCGCCGCCTGTATTTTAGTTTAGCAATGTGAAAGGTTTTCTTACAAACTGTTGGTCTGGTTGGAATTACTTTTGCTATGGAGTAGGAGAGATGTATCATTATACTATACTATAAGATAACCCTGTAAAAGGCACTCACCACCACTTATTGAATGAGATTTTCACTGCTAATTTAAGTGGCAATTTTTTTCCATACTCTAAATTACTACATATAATTGATAATGTTTCTAGGTATGCTATTTATTTCTCTAATTGTCTATCCATTGCTCAATCATTACTACATGTTTTGATGAACATTTTTGGTTTGTTTGCTCTTATTTATTTATTTATTTTTTGAGACAAAGTTTCACTATATAGCTCAGATTGGCCTGAAACTCTCAGCGATCCTCCTGCCTCAGCCTCCCAAGTGCTGGGATTACAGCGATCACCACCGTGTCCTGCTTTTAGTAAACTTTATAGAAGACTTTAAGATCTAATAATGGCCCTCAATCATTATTTCCAAACACCAATTGGCTTTCTACCTTATGTATTGTTTCTGAAGATTTTCGCATTTTATTTTCGTGTTCTAAATACCTATGAGGATGTAGAAAATCTCCCACACTCCCCAAAATATAAAAATCTGAAGTGACAGACAACATATAGTAATGCCAGAATCAGAAAGAAAGATATTTAAATTTTAAGGAGATTAGAGTCGGGTTTAGGAAAAATCTCAAGGATTACACTGAAGGATGATTCCCTGGCCTTGCTGCCTCTGAATATACCCCCAGCACATACTTTTTAGTATGGCAATTAGCACTTTATATTTTCCATGTTGCTTCTCCATCAGAGTTGGCTCATTTCAGGGCAGGCGCTGTGTCTGAGAGAACCTTAGCACCCTTGCATAGCCATTTGGTGAATGGGTGGCTGGTGCTCCAGCCCCTACCTGCTCTGAAAGCCCACAGCTGCATCCTTCCTGTGTCCACTGACTCCGGAAGCTTTCCCAGCCCAGCCAGGTGCCTGTCCATGCTACCTAACGTGCTTTCCTATTTATACAACTCCGTGTGGTCAAAACTTTCTAGATTTGCCAATGGACCCTTCAGTGGCTTCCTGCCTCTTCTTTCCTCCTGACATGTTGGCGTGTTGGCATTAAGTGGTATCCATGAAGCAACACAACCCCAGGCCGAGGGTAAGCATTGAGACTTCCTCTCCCTGCGTCCCCAGATCCCAAGTCCCCTCCCGGCTCCGCAGTGGCAGCGAGCAGGTAAAGCAGGTCCCACTGAGTTTTAGCCGGGCCTCCCTCTGTGTCCAGCACCCGGGTCACTGTAGGCACACAACAAACTTCGGCTTCTTTTACCTCCACAGCCTCTCTCCTGCTCCCTCTCCCAATGGCTCAGTGCAAAACAAGGCCTCACGTGGTCTGTTAACATTTTCAGAAGACAACTAGGGGCTGCCAAGAGACTGGATGCATCAGAGGACTGGCCACTGAAGTGACTCCCCGGGCCAGTGTACCGCACTTTTTCTTTCTCTTTATTAGTCCGTGTTTGCACCTCACTGATTGCAGTCACTGTGGGGAGCTGCTGCATGGACATTTTAAGATCCCCTTCTCATTCACTGCAGGTCCATCTCCCCATTTCCTTGTGTCTCTTTTCTATTACTCTTTAGATTATTTATACTTTGGGTTTCTCGTATAAGAGAAACTATGTGATATTTAAGCTTGTGTATCTGCTTTACCTCACTTCACATTATGGCCTCAGGTGCATCCACTTTCCTACCAATGTCTGGATTATCCTTTATGGCAGAATAGTACTCCATTGCGTATAAATGCCACCTTTTCCTTACCTATTCATCTGCTGATAGATACATAGAATGATCTTACTCCAGAAAGAATGGCTACCACCAAGACATCAGACTTTGTTCTTCTTAAAGGGTAAAGAAATGAGATCTTTATTATGACTAGGAAGCCTGTGCATTCTGGTGGAGCTCGAGAAGTGGGTGCAAGTTGACAACACACTCCTCCCCAGTGGGTCCTCCAGGGTTTGCTTAAGTGTCTTTGGCAGCTGTCTGTGGCTCTGGATGCCCTGCCCATGCCAAATGAAGACCTGGAGGTGAACTGCGGCCATGGAAGGCCCTCTGCTTACAGACAGCGGCCAGGACACAGAGTGAGTCAGGTGGCCCTTCTGATGCAGACGGCACGCCTGGCTCATCTGGAATGCTGGGACTGCTGCCCTCTTATGGAAGGAGAGAGCTGGGAATGGTGGCGCACACCTGTAATCCCAGGACTTGGAAGGCTGAGGCAGGAGGATCACTGAGAGTTCAAAGCTACATAGTGAGTTCCAGGCCAGCCTGAACTACATGGCAAGACCTTGTTTCAAACAAAAGAAAATAAAACAGAGCAAAGGAAAGAAAATAAAATGGTGTGGTTGAGTTCTCTCTCTGTAGTCTTCTCAGTCCTTCTCCATAGTGATTTTATTTGATGTAGAGTTGAATTTAAGAGAATTCCTACAACCCGCCAGCCAACACCCAGCCCTGAGGTTG